TCGGGGCGGTGGCGGTGTTGCTATTTATCTACGCTCTCATATACCGTATTCAGTAATTCAGGTTTCAACTGGTTCTCAGACTGGAGGCGAAGCAGAATTTCTCTTTATCGAAGTTCTTCTCGGTCATACTAAATTACTTCTCGGAGTCTTTTACAGCCCCTCTCTCACTGTTGACTACTTCACCACGTTAGAAAATATTCTTGAAAATCTTACACCTATCTATTGTCATAGTATAATTATGGGTGACTTTAATACTTGTCTTTTAAAAACCAACGCCAGATCAATTAAACTAAAATCTGTTATCGAAGCAGCAAATTTAAAACTTCTTCCTACTTCTGCCACACACTTTTTCCCGAACTGTGCCCCTTCTCTTCTCGACATAATGTTTGTGTCTTCACTTGACCTTGTTCATAAATTTGGGCAATATGCTGCTGATTCTTTTTCCTATCATGACCTTTTATACTTGTCTTACAAAATCCGTCCCCCTAAAGCTAAGTCAAGGATCCTACTTCAGCGTAACTTTAGTAACTTGGACTTGAAGCAGCTTTTAAATGACGCTCGAAAAATTGATTGGAATGTAGTCGTCAATGCTTCCACTGTTGATGAACAGGTAGCTTTGTTCAACTCTTTGTTAATTCAGCTTTATGACGTTCATGCTCCTGTTCGTCCAGTGCGTGTAAAGCATCCTCCCTCTCCATGGCTGACTGATGATATAAAAAAAATCATCCACATTAAAAATTGTGCCAAAGCGAAATACAAGTCAGTTCCTAGCGACCTGAATCGAGAGAAGTATAGATTAGTACGGAATCGTTGCAACAATCTGTGTAGAAAAGCACAACGACGCCATATCCATGAATCAGTACAAGATCCTGACCCTGCTAGGGTCTGGAAATTTCTTAAGTCTTTAGGAGTTGGGAAATTACGACAAAATTTCACTCACCTTAACTTTGATCTCAATCAACTTAATTTGCATTTCTCATCTTCGTCTTGCATTAACGATAATGCAAAACACAATACTTTGGATTCCCTTTCAAAAACTCCCGCTCCAGACACCTCTGCTTTTAATTTTAGTCAATTCAACAGTTGTGATGTTATGAAAGCCATAATGTCCATCCATTCAAATTCAATTGGTAGTGACTGCATTAGTCGGAAAATGGTCATCCCTCTCATTGATCTCCTTTCACCTGTAATCACTTCCATCCTGAATAATTCACTGAATTCTTCTATTTTCCCTTCAGCTTGGAAAGATGCATTTGTAGTTCCTCTTCCGAAAAAGTCGAATCCGTCTAGTTTTTCTGATTATAGACCTATCTCTATCTTGCCTTTCCTTTCCAAAGTTCTTGAACGTCTTGTGCACAATCAATTAAGCATCTATCTTTTAAAACATAATCTTTTAAAACATAATCTTTTAAATCCTTTGCAATCCGGTTTCCGTCCTGGCCATAGTACGACTACTGCACTTTTACAAATCACTGATGATATTCGGTATGGTATGGAGAAACAAAAGCTTACCATTCTTACGTTACTTGATTTTAGTAATGCATTTAATACAGTAGATTTTGATATCTTGTTGGGCATCCTGCGCTTTCTCAACATATCTCCAACTGTAGTTGACTGGTTTCGAAGTTACTTGTTTGGTCGCCGACAGCGCATTCAGGTGCAAGATGTTTTTTCCACCTGGACTACTACAGCGGCTGGCGTACCACAAGGTGGCGTGTTGTCTCCTCTCCTGTTTGCAATTTTCATTAACTCTATAAGTCATAATCTGTCCTCTTCCTACCACTTGTATGCTGATGATCTCCAAATCTATACTCAATCTTCTCTTGAAGATTTGTCTAAATCAGTTGACACTATTAACGCTGATCTGACTTGTATTTCGAATTGGAGTAAACGTTATGGTTTAACGATCAATCCCAAGAAAACTCAGGCAATTATCATCGGTAGTTCTAGATTAATTGGAAAAATTGACTGGTCTTCCCTACCTCCTATTTTACTAGACTGCACTCAAATCCCTTACAGTAACAAGGTTAAAAACCTGGGGTTGTATCTCGACTCTTGTATGTCTTGGACCTCACAGATTAATGAGGTTAGTAGAAAAATGTTTGCTGCTTTAAGCTCTTTACGTAGATTACGTAATTTTCTTCCCACAGTAACTAAAGTTACGCTCGCCCAGTCTCTACTTCTACCTATCCTTGACTATGCTGACATATGCTATCTTGACATTACCGAGGAGCAGCTTAATAAGCTTGAGCGCATTCAAAATTTATGTATTAGATTCATATTTGGGCTTCGCAAATATGATCACATCTCTGAATTTCGCAAACAGCTCAAATGGCTCCCGATCCGCCTTCGCAGGAATACTCACATTCTCTCTACTTTGTATAGCGTGCTGTTTAATCCTTCCTCTCCTCATTATTTAAAAGACCGTTTCCAGTATCTTTCCCTTACCCATAATCGGTTCCTTCGATCCTCCGTCAATCTTTCTCTCTCTACTCCTTCGCACTCTTCCTCCTTTTTTAAGAAATCCTTTAGTGTAACTGCTGTACGTTTGTGGAACTCTTTACCTCTCCACATTCGTCGTGCTCAATCTCTTCATTCTTTCAAATGTCTTGTTAAATCCTATTACTTAGAACACTATTAGATAAATCACTTTTCCTTTTTCGTACTCTTTTCATTTAATCTATTATATTATATCATACATAATCTTCACTTGCCTTTATTTGTATGTATTTTATATTTTTTATTTTTATTTTGTACGCCCCCCTCTATTTTTAACTATTATTTACATCAGTTCTCTACACTAAGGTTGTCTGGAAGAAATCACTTTCAGAGTGATAAGACCGCCTGTTGTACATTTTCTAATTTAGATTTAATTGTATTCGTTTTTGTTTTGTTTTTGGTGTACAATAAAGAGTAAATAAATAAATAAATAATAAATAAATAGTTTAATCAATATTAAATCCAAAATAAATTATTGTATTTCATATTAAGATATAGAACAAAGAAGTCAAAGCAACGTAATAGTTTTCAATAACAATAACATAATCGCATAACGACAGACAGATCAAAATACAAATTGTAATCCCACTCTTAGCAGCGCAAGCGATTTGAGACACCTTTGTTTTAATTAACAAAGTAAGTATATGGCAACGTTTGCGATTACATCGTATTATGATCACCTAATTTAAACGTAACTTATACAATGGTATTATTACATACATAATACGTGGATACAAGTAAATTCATAGTTTTAAATTCCTTATTTACACAGAATTTTAGACACATTACTTTTGCTTGGATCGAAAAAGATTTCTAGAAGTATGGTATTTACTATATCGTTTACAGAAAATAATTTAATAATCACTGTAACACATATCAACTTTACACAACAAAACATTAATTTATTTAAGCATTAAAAAGACCAATTTTAATTTTTAAGTAGGTTTATGTAAATATATAAGCATAACTTAAAGGTTCACTGTCTTTATAAAAGAAAAGAAAAACTAATACTTATTAATACCGACTTGTTTTAAACACTTTTCGAATTGAATTAAAACATTTAAATAAAATTTACTATAGAAAAAAATCACAACGAAAAATATCATCGGTGTTATTTTAACTGAACGAAAAATTAATTTATGATAAACCATGGTAAATTTAAAAATGTAATCTACTATATTATTTCATTCGTTTTTGTATTGTGTCCTGCACAGTAATAAAAATAATATAAAACAATAAACAATAACCAAATAAAATTTAATATAAAATTGTCTTGTGCCTTAATACAAATGCCATAAATGCCTAATATGTAATGTGCTTTTTTGATATTGTATTATGATTACATTTTTTATATATATAAATAGTGATAAAAATATTGAAAAATCAATTGTATCGTAAGTTATTTGATAAATAAGTTCAATTTAAACATACGTGTATATGGAATATTTAATACTTAACTTCAACAAATATTATAGCAAAAAAATATAAAAACAATCTCAAATTGATAAATAAAGTTTTAAATGGAATTAAAATCACACAGGTGCGAAGTTACCTCTTAATTTTCTTCTTTGTTCTTCTGGACGAAGCTTGCAAGTACAACGTACGTACAACCGCTGCTTTCCTTTTCAAATAAACCTGCCGTTTCTTGAATTTTGTTATTTTGTAATTATATTTTAAAAAAAAACCATTTTTTATTTTCCTCATTCTTTCTTAGTTGCTTTCATAGTAGGTACTATTATACATTTAAATTATATTACTTCATGTTCATTATACTTTTTATATTTCAATCAGCATCTGTAAAATTATTATTGTGGCCTCTTCTTTTATTCATATTCATTTATTTTTCGTCACATCCGGTATTGCGTCCATTCTGTTATAATATAATTTTCTTTTTAAACGGTCAATCCATGATGATTTCCATTTTTTTTTGTAATTTTTTTTTCTCTTTATGTAGGCTCGGCGGTGCGCGTGCAATGTAGCAGCGCACCGCCTGGCAGGGTCGCCATGTGATATAGGAAATATGTCAATGAAATAGAGACGTGTTGATGCTTCTATAACTTTAATTATAATATTCTTATTCTACCTTAACACTAATATATATATATATATATATATATATATATATATATATATATATATATATATATATATATATATATATATATATATATATATATATATATATATATAGTAGTGGGGGCTATACTACACTACAGGACGTTCTAAAAAGCAATCCCGGTGTCGATTACACATACACAATAAATTAAAATATTTCAAAGGGGTACTTGGTTACCTGTTTACAGTTACTATTCCCTGGGACACTCATAACAGGTCTAGGTATAAATTGGCAGAAACGTCCATGCTGAATTTAAGTAGATTTAGTGACCTTTTCAACTATATAGTAATGCAAATAAACAAATATAAATATCACAAAGTTTAGCCGTACTTACTAATTCTAGAAACAGAGAAACATAATATTATGAGGTGTTTTATTTTTCTAGGATGGTGATGAATGGGGCAACGAAGATGCGACAGCGGCTGGTGAACTACACGACCAAGTTAAATCCGCTGAACAAGAGGAAATTGGCGACATGTTAGAACCTCCTACTAAGGTAATATTTTGTTTGTACTAAGGGTAGCTATACTCAACCAAATCTAAGAAATATCTTTTGACGTTTTACGTTAATCATTCCGCAATAACTTTGTACAAGGGTACTCACACGATTTAAAATAACCTTTTACGTAAATCCAAAGATTTATGAAGTTATCTATATTTCATTACAAAATGTATACCTTGTTCTTTATCACTAATAAAAATTAGAATCCTTCAAAAAAAGTAAAATATAAAAAAAATTAAACAAAATCAACTTTTATGCTTGACATTGTTTCAATATGTCGTTAAGCACCTTATCGTGTAGTAGAGTAGACCATGGGAGATCAACCTTCACCTATCTGATAACCAGATGAGACCTAATTTTGTATGAAATTTTATTGATCTATAAACACGCCTATGGTAGCTTGCCTTTCGAAAAGTGCTCATGGCTATTTTTAATTAAATTAATTTTAATCAATTTTTGTCATAACCTTCACTCTTTTAATAACCGAACAAATTTAGTTGAAACAGATAGTTTTAACATGGAGAATAATATGCCTTGGTATGCTTGCCTACTTATTTCTGTTCATGGCTACCTGGCAAGAAGGTATGAGCAGGTAAGTCAATATAGTTGACTACACCGATAATATGTTAACCAATAAAACTTGGTATCAGAAGAAAGATAATTTAATACGAAAATAATCGTATAGGCTTGCCTGCAAAAAACCGTTCATGGAATATTATTGCCATGTTTTAGTTTTTAAATCGGAGCAATTAAATATGTGCGAGAGAGAAAGTAGAGCGTCCGAAGTCCGTGTGATAGAAGAGGACACAACATCATCATCATCATTATAGCCCTTCACAAATCCACTGCTGAACATAGGACACCCCGAAATGAATGACACAAAGCAAGGTCCTGAGTCACCTGCATCCATCGACTTCCTGCATGTCTTACCAGGTCGTCACTCCATCTAGGGGGGGGGGGGGGGTCGACCTACACTTCGCCTACCTGTACGAGGCTGCCACTCGAACTTTTTTTTCCATCGGTTGTCGGTTCTTCGAGCTATATGGCCGGCCTATTGCCACTTCAGCTTACTATTCCGTTGGGCTATATCGGTCACTACTCTGGTTCTACTGCGGATATCTTCATTTCTAAGTTCATCACGCAGAGAAACCCCGAGCATAGCTCTCTCCATAGCTCGCTGGGCGACCTTGAGCTTCCTCATACGGCCAGCAATGAAGGACCACGTCTCAGTTCCATAAGTCATCAATGGCAACACTCACTGGTTGTGCAGTCTGGTTTCCAAATTTTGAGGTATACCCGACGAGAAGTGTCGTAATTTCCCGAACGCTGCGCAATCGAAGTTAGACTTACCTAGTCGGACTATTTGTCCCAGGTAAACATACTCGTCAACAACTTCGAGCTTAGTGCTCCCAACAACTAATAAAACTCAAGTGCAGCAAAATCGAATGATTTTCATCATTTGATTTTGCTTTTTACTAAAGATAGAAATTTTACTTTTTGGTAAAGAAATTGAATTTACGTGTGATCATTAAGTGAGGATCATTATTCACGTGTCTAGATCGGGATCGAAGATTCTCATAGAATCTTCCGATACCGATGTGCTGATAGTTTTACTTGGAGACATACCCAAAATTGAACAATCGGAAGTTTGGCTAGCAAGTTCACAGAATAAAAAAAATAAAAGACCTCGATTTCATTAATTGCACTGATGTAGCTAAAAAATTAGGGACTACACTATGTCGAAGCTTACCAGCTTTCCATACGTATACTGGTTGCATTTACATAGCTACTTTTTACCAGTAAGGTAAATTAAGACCGTAGAAACAATTAAAAAAAATGAGATTTACCAAAATATGTTAGTGTCATTACTTGACGAAGCAGATATTTTTATAAATGAAAAAATAAGGGCTATTCTAGAGTTTACTGCTAATATGTATGGAACATGGACGAATAAATAAGGCGGACAGAATTTTGTTAAGAAAGAACTGATGCACCGTAATGGCGGTGGTTCAAGTATGTTTGCGTGTTATATAGGGTTGACATGTGAAACAAAATTTCCCTATATTTTTTTTACAAATCAATCTGTCAAAATATAACATAACTTTGATGAAATACTAATTTATTATTGCGTAACTAATATAAATAACACATTTGACAATTAAAAAAATCCTAGATTTTGAGATTTGATTTTGATTGCAATCGAATTATTCTATTTCAATCAATTTCGATTTAAATTAATTTTATTACAAATATTATATTATACAAAAATTGTATTATATTATGGGAACAAAATATATTATAAAAATTTATTTACAAAATATATAACAAATAAACATATTATAGGTAACCAAAAAATTTATATAAAATTAATTTACAATTTATTATTTTAGAATTAGTATGAGAACATTTAGAAACAGCATGGTAGCGATCACCTCATTCTCAGGGTTTTATTATCAATCATGTACTCTTTAGTAGTGTACCCTAATAATCCTTTCTAAACAATTTTTACTTGGTAAAAATTTTAAAACTTTGATAGATAAGGCCTGCATATTTTCTGGGAAAGCGTACACATTGCCCCATGAAGGAATTACTGACTCTTTTAAGTCGAGTAACTGTTAAAACTAACTTGTGCTTGTTCCTAGTATTTATAGAATGTAAATCACTATTTTAAATAAAATATTATAAGTAGGGAACCAAAAAACCATGTGTGTAATTGAATCTTTGTTAGGGAACCGATCAATGGTTTACATAATAATATGAATCTTAATAATATATAAGACGTGATGGTGATAATTAATTACGGTATTCTTAAAACTTTTTTTTTTTTTTTATAGGATAAGGGTGACAAACGAGCACACAGTCCACCTGATGGTAAGTGGTTGCTGCGGCCCATAGACATCTACATCTATCCTCTGTTACAAATCAAAATGTAGATGCGTTGTCACCCGTGAGGACTAAGGTGGAATGCCTCATTTCCAGTAAAAAGGGCCTCCGGCCACCTGCACTCACCAAGCGAAACGCAGAGGTAAACCTCTACTTCACGCTGGTTTTCTGTGAGGTCGTGGTACTACCCCGGTTCGAGCCGGCCCATTCGTGCGACAGCAAAAGCTGCCGCGTGGCTCTACCACTGTTAAAAACTAAACTAAAGATTTTAACATTAATATGAAATTACCGAAGAAGATGATGAGCTAGATTTATTTTACCATTAGCAGGAAAACCAAAAATGATTAGAATAGAATAGAATCATTTTAATTTAATACAGATTACAAGAATACTTATTGAGTCATTTAAGCTTTACCACTGGTTCGGAAAAAATCACTATCCTGGGAAGGACCATCAAGAAACCCAACGGGTTTTTAAAAAAAATAAAACTAATTTTAAATATATTATTTTAGAATTAGTATGAAAACATTTAGAAACAGTATGGTAGCGATCACCTCATTTTCAGGGATTATTATCAATCATGTACTCTTTAGTAGTATACCCTAATAAAATAATAAATAAATAAAAATAAAAAAATAAAATTGATTTATTTCAGACTTTTGTCCATAATATTGTTAGTAGCATAAAAAGAGATCTTAAAAACTAGGTTAGTAACATTTCTATTAGAAAATATTTATTTTAATTTAAATATCTGCCTGCACTTCGCGTCACCCCCGCAACATGTGTGTGAGCGTACACCCAGTGCCGAAGTATCGGGCAGTCAGGCTTTTCACTGATTACTTTGAGAATGGTGTTGGCGCTCCCCCGCACCGTGCGCAGGAGGGATGCGATTCGCTTGCGCACTACTGTGTAAAACCCATCAGTGCGCGCCAATGCGAACATTCCCGATGCACTACAGTAACTTGGAAGCCCCAACAACATTCTCAGACCATTATTATATTGTACTCGGAGAGCGTTAACAGCCCCCCGCGTGTAGTTGACCCATAGATTGCACGTATAAAGCGTTTGGCAGTATGCCTTAAACAGTGTTATTTTTACATCTGAACTGCTATGTGCAAATCTGCGAGCCAACATGTTGCAACGGACTGCCATCGCCCTCCTTTCCCTTTCAATATCCTTGTCATCCTTCAAGTCCTCGGTAACCACGTGACCGAGATACTTGAAGGATGGCACCCTTACAAGTTCGATACCATTCAGTTTGACAGGCGGTACATATATCACCTTACGAGTCCTGGCTTTAAAAACCATCAACTCGCTTTTTCTACCATTATACAATAGGCCGTGGGATTTTGCATAATCCTCGCATATTGAGATCAGCCTTCTTAGCGCAGCAACTGACGGACTCAGCAACACCATGTCGTCCGCGTAACTGATGCTGTTTACACAGAGACCATCAATGAAACAGCCGACACTGGCGCTGCCAAGCCTAACAATCAACTCGTCTACATACAAGTTAAAAAGCGTCGGGGAGGTCAAACCACCCTGCCTCACACCACACTCCAACCCGTACGCATCAGAAAGCTGATCCAGCCATTTGACCTGGTTAGTCTGGTGGCCATACCAATATTTAAGAATATTTATAATCTCACCAGGCACTCCTGAATCTTGTAATTTTTTCCACAAGATGTCATACCTAACCAAGTCAAATGCCCTGGACAAGTCAAGAAAAGCCGCGTAAACTGGCGTCTTCCTATCCATATAATACCTGACAGTATGCTTGAGAGCCAGAATGGCGCATTCAGTTGACAGTTTTGGCCTGAAACCGAATTGAGCGTCGTGCAGAACCAGGTGACACTTGAGCTGTCTTTCAACCAGACCGTCAAGTATTTTTGCTGTGATAGTAGCTAATGAGATCGGCCGATAGTTGTTCTTATCGGATATATCTCCAGTTTTATTCTTAACAATAGGAACAACGACCGATCTCATCAACTCTGCAGGCAGGTATGAGTGTCTAATACAAAAAGTAAATAGCATACCTAGTAACCTCGGGAGGTGCGGCCCAGCATACATGAAGTGCTCAATGCTGAGGCCGTCATGACCCGGTGACTTGC